CCCACAACACCACCCCCCTCCTGCCACACACAAACAAACACCACAACACAAGATATACTACACATACACTCACAGAGAGCGCACTCTTAAAGCTGGACGTGGTCTCCTCCGAATCTCTCCTTCTCCGAGACAACGAGAGTGGCGGGGAGGAGGCGGAGGGCTCGGGTTGGGGGGCGGACTGCTGTCGCTGCATCAGACTCACCCTCTCACGGACGCTGGGAGGCGGACCTGACTGCTGCTGCGGCTGATACTGCTGATAGTGCTGCTGAGACTGGCTGACACAACGATTCTGCTGCGTCACTCCTGAAGGACACTGGGCGCTGAACGTCGTCTCCACTCGACTATTCAAAGCAGAGTCCGTGTGATCTCGTCTGCCACTCGGCAGGACTGTTGTACCCATGTTCCCAGACAGGATTTCATGTTTTTCCTTACCGTTGACGTTACTGGGCGTCGTTTTTCTGCTCTGAGAGTTGAGCACAGCTCTTTGGAGTCTCTCGCGAATGTGTTTAAGAGCCGAACTACCCTCACTGCTCTTTTTCCCCGACCCGTTCTGTTCCCCGTCGCGACTACTTCGCTGTCCACTAGGGTCTCCCACACTGGCCACACTCTCAGACTTTTTCTGTCCCACCAAAGAAAACGCCAATCCAGACGTCAAATCCCCCAAAGAATGCGATCTGTTGGCAGGATCCATTGTCCTGTTCGCGTCTGTTACTTCTGAATTATCTTCCTCTCGGATCGTTTTGTACTCAGGCTCGTAGGATCTGGTACTATTCATGGTACCAAAATCCCTCTCATCTCTCTGCGTTGTAGATATATCCATACAGCTATGGTAAACATCAGAGGAAGGGTAATTAGAATGCAGCCCTCGTCCATTCCAAGCGTCCAATCTCTTGAGTCCCCCTTTACCCCCGTACTCGTAGCTTTTCACGCTTTCGTCAAAAGAAGAATTGAAACTAGAATTGCCATTGCTGGTGACGGTGCTGGCTGCATTGTTCAGACTATTTGTATCAGAGCCGGCGGTCGGGTGTTCGTGCCGGTTACGTTTATTGTTATTCACCTCCCGCGAGTGACAATGCTGGGCGTACGTTCCATTCTGAAGGACGTGTTGATCGGGGGTGTAAATGCCCAGTTCCGGAATCGGTACAAAGGCAGCCGGCCGCGACGAGCCCTGGGATTTCTTGGCGCTGTGCTGGCCGAAAGTTTTGGCGTGGTTCTGGTGGTGGTGGGCAGACGGCGCTGCTCCTGCCATTCTCACGCGAGGCTCCGAGGTGTAGATCTCCGACACAGTGGACCCGTTGTCACCGCTTCGGGGGCTCTGAACAGAGGATCAGAGAGGAAGTTAAATTATTAGTAGGTAGATCTAAGTGTATTTGTTCTGCAGCTCTATCGAAATAGCTCATCTAAGACATGAAAGGGGCTGCGTTTTTAAGCATCATAATATTGTTAGTGATAAACGGTAATAGCGGCTGTCATTCATTTACATAAAAGTCGGTGTGGTTAGTTACAATAATTTACGAAGTTTTAAGTTCCAGGAAAAGTTTGAAAAGACGAATATAAATCTACTCAACTTTTTCTTCTTCCCTCCGACTTTTCTTTCATTCAAGATCTTTCG